AGGGCCCAGCCCTGCCTGCGGCCCCGGCCGGGGGCCCTGCCGCCCAGGGCGCATCCGGGAGGGAGGGCGGCCCCGGCGTAACGGCTGCCAGCCCCGCGATCGTGGACATGTTTACGGGTTTTAAGACAAAAAGGGTGTTGTAATCATTCCCGTGGCCTCTAGCAAAGTCTAAAGGCCACACGGTGTCCGCGGGCAGCCGCTGGGTGACTACAGAACCAAGTCCCGACCGCCCCCTTGGGGAACGGGCTCCCTCTTTCGGGGAGAGCTTTGCGCCCAAGCAGGTGCGAGGGTCCCGTCGGATTCCAATGGCAGCACACTCTTATTTACAGTTATCGTTTAGTTAGCATTGTGTATGCGGTTTGTATAGGAAAAAACGGAAACAAATGTGCATAAACCGGTGCCTGGTAAACTCACGGGGTGCATCCATGCACGGGGACATCGGCTGTGAAAAGCTCCTTACCGACAGATCTCCGGGTTTTGATAATTGGAAAAAATATTTCCACTCCAACTCCCAAGTTGTTTTAGATAGGAAATGTCGATTTCTATATTTATCCGGCAATATATGAAACACCTGTGTACGCTGTATCCAACTTTAACCTGCATAGTCATTAGTTTCGATTGAGTGAAAAAAATGCTACTTTGCGTAGTTTTTGTGTATTTGAAGATTGTTGTGCAACATACATAAAACTTCAGAAAACCAGTCAGCACCATTTTATCTTTTTCTGAAAAATACAGCTGCGAAAGTGCTGTGCCATCATTTGGGGGAAAGTGTATGTCACATTTTTGCCCAGCAGGCACACCTGTTGCCAGAATAAAAATGATACTAACAATGGATGTCCCTGAAAATCAACGGCTGGGCAGGGAGGTGGGAGGGAGACTTCGCAGCTACTGCTCTTTCCAGCGACCTTGGCTCCTCCAAGGACTGCAGCTTGCCCAGTCCGGCTTTGACTCAGTGACACTTCTACCGTCAGTGGCCTCTGGTGTAGCCCCGACAAGAGCGCTGCTCCAGCCACTCCTCTCAGCGCTGGTCTGCCTCTCCTTGCAGACTGCTGCTGCCCCCACTTCTGCTCCCCAGGAGAGGCCTTGTTCTGCTCACGTGGGCTGCGGCTCAGGCCTCCCACACGGCAGGCGGCCCCCTACACACATGCCGGGCTCCAAAGTGAGCTCGTGGCCACACATGCCGGGCTCCAAAGCGAGCTCGTGGCCACACCCATGCGTGGTAACAGGAGGCCGTGGCAGGGTGTTCCTCTGAGGAGGTCCATCTCCTTGTGTCCTGATTTTCTCCTTGTCAAACATGTTCCCTACGCTTCCGCCTGGTGTCCGAACGGGCCTCCCTACAGAAGAGGTGCCCTGGGAAAGGCATGGGCCTGGGGTCAGCTCTGAGGAGGGGTGACCGTTAGATGCCAGGCCTGTCGTCTCCCCCACAGCCCCACAGCAGAAACAAGGCAATTTGAGAAAAGAAATATACTGTTTATTATCCATTTGAAATTTCACATGCACTTTTAAAAATTAAAACTCTTTATTTAAACATTTCAATAGCATCTTATCAATTTGGTGGCAGCAAAAGAAAGACTACCAAAGACAAATATTTTGAAAAGCATTTACAAAAATACATTGCACAAAGTCCTATCTTGCATCTTTAAAAATAAATTAATATTCAAAATATTTCCACCCCAACTCCCCAACTGTTTAATATAGGAAATTTTGATTTATATATTTATCCCGTAATATATGAAACATCTGTGTACATTGTATCCAACTTAACTGCATAGGCATTAGTTCTGATTGTAAGTGAAAAAATGCTACTTTCTGTTATGTAGTTTTTGTATGTTTGAGGACTGTTGTGCAATTTACATAAAACTCTTCAGAAAACCAGTCAGCACCATCATTTTATCTTTTTTTCTGAAAAATACAGGATTTATGGTACACCAAGAAACTGTCTTAACCCAATAAAACTTAAATAATTTTAAGGTAAAACATCTGTAACACTTTAAGTGCCTTGTGGACATCTCATTTATAAAGTCTGCTCAGTATAACAGTCTCAGTATGAAATATTAATTATAACCTAAATGAGACTCGCAGGACTTGAGGGAGAATGGTTGACGGTCGTCCTAAGAGGCAAATCCCCACCAGAGCCAGTAGAAAGTGCCACTGTGAGGAAAGTCATGGTCACGAGACCTAACGGTTCTATGAATTCGCCGCACTGACCAGTCCCCCTTTGATAAGCGCATCAGTGGATTCAAAACATGAGCCTCTGAGAGATCCGGAGCACGTTAGTGTTCGCTTTTCAGCCAAATTCAAAAGACAACCTGAAAACACCCAACCGTTGGATTCCTCAGTTCCCACTCGAGCTGTGAAGTGGACACTCCGGGGCGATCCCAACGGGATGAGCCTGGCGGACCTGAGAGCTCTTTCTCGGGGTCTGGATCCGGACTGTCCCCCTTCCAGTCAGAACCACTGCAACCCGCAATGAAACGAAACCGAACTCCCCCGTGGTCCCGCATGGAGAGCGGCACGCTGAGCCCTGACCTTGCAAATCTTTCTCAGAAGTAGAGCAAACTGAGCAGAAGAACACATTTTAGGCGTTTCCCCACCTGGCAACTTAAAATAACTAGTGGTACTGAATAAAAGAAAACCCCCACCCTAAAGGAAAGGAGCTTGGAACCCTGAAACTTGGTGACATTGTTTCTCCCTGAAAGATACGTATGCTGGACTGAAAAGGTAACCCCCGCCCCCGACCCCCTCAAAGTCCTTTAAAAGGGCCGGTGAAAGTTTCGAGAACACTTCAAACCTTTCAACTTCATTTGCTTTGCTCCTGACGTCAAGGAAAGACAGGTATAAAGAGCTTTATGTTTAAAAACAAATCCCCAAAACGAAGTTAAGTGTCTTTGCGAACCATACATTCAAATGCATTTCCGAAGCCACCGCTGCCAGCGGCCCCCGTAAACCCGAGCACTCAACATGCAGTGTTTCCCGCGGACACAACGGCCAGCTGGGCGCACGGCGTCGCCGCTTCAATCCCCAGTCCTGCTGCTGGCGGTCAGTAACGTTTATTTAACAGACGACGTCATGCTGTCCGTCCTACGCCTCGTTCAGGGAGGATCCAGTGTTTCGGGCTGTCCCAGTATATACAGAATGTACAAGAGGAGCGAGGAGAGGCCTACTTGATAGGCTCCCCGTGGACTCTGAACCGGTAGAGACACGTGTACTCGGGATGGCCCCAGTTGGACAGAACCCGAAGCTCCACGATTTGGAAAGCTCGTTCGGGTCTTTTCTGAAATCAAAGGGGAGAAATAAAAGTCACACTTGTTTTCATATGAACGCCCCCAAGCCCAGTCACTCCCCCGTCCGCGATACTTGACAGAAGCAGCGACTAAGTTTTCAACATGCACAGGGTCATCTGCCGCAGGACACGAAGCTCAGGCAAAACCAAGAACTCGTCACACGCCACAGGCTCACTTTCAGTCTGTCTCAGTCACAACGCACTCAGGGAGCGAAATCTAGACTCGACGCCAGCGCTCAGCTCCGCCGCAGGCAGAGGCCGACCCTCAGGCCTCCATTTTGGTGAGGTCAGCCGTGTCCCACCGACACAAGGGCGCGGCCTCGGGACACGGGGGCCAGGGGGCGGGCGCAGGCTCACCGGAGCATGGAACATCTGGAGCGACTCCCCTTCCTGATCGTACACAAACTGGCCCAGCAGCTCCCCTTCTTCCTCGTATTCATTTTCCAGTCCCTGAAACCGAAACCACACGGCCGTTAAACTGGGGCGCACGGCACTGCGTGCGTCAGGACTGCGCCCCTTCGCCATGAGGTGGGGGACCGCTCTGCTGCTCCGCTGTGGTGCAGCCTCTGGAAGGTAGGGCATTTCATTACGGGGCCCGTGAGGGAGGTTTCACTGCTCCCATCACTGACAGGGAACACTGAGGCTGCAGGAGGGCCAGGTGACAAGGAGCAGAAACGTGACTGTCTGCGGGCAGGCCACTCGCTACTGCGTGGCACCCCGCCGCCCGCGACGCTGCAAGGGCCCGGTCCAGGGGAGAGGGCAGTCAGCGGGAGGCAGTGACAGGGGGCGCAGGCCATCTGTTTCAGCAGGGACAGCCTTTTGGTTTGGGTGATAAGAAAGCTCGGTGGATGGACACCTGTGACAACTGCATAGCACCGTGAACATCCCTAATGCCACTGCACTGCACACGACATGTGTGAAGATGGCCGACTTTATGCTGTCCGCACTTTCCTACAGTAACGGAGGACGGTGGCCTCGCCCTCCTGCGCTCTTCACAGACAGCAGCTCTGCGGGGCCCCTGCGCCCACGGCCTGTCTCTCTGCCATGTCGCTGGCAGCACCTGTTCACCTCGAGTCTGTGTCACATTCAGGTGATTCTCACAATACTGCCCATCTTTCATTACCGTACTGACTATGGTGATGTGTGATCAGTGACCTTTGATGTTACGAGTGTAACTTTTGGGGTGCCATGAACTGCACCGACAGAAGAGAGCGAGCTTGACCGATAAACGCTGTGAGTGCTCTGACTGCCCCACCGACTGGCCGGTCCCCATCTCTCTCCCTGTCCTCGGGCCTTCTCTGTTCCCTAAGGCACAACAATCCTGACATTAGGCCAATTATAACCTGACAGTGACCTTGACCTGCAGAGGCCGAGAGGCGCGGAGGGAGGGTAGAGGCAGCACGTGCCGATGGGGACGCTGCAGCCAGCCCCCCAGGAGGTCCGGCCAGATGGCTGAAGAAGTGGCCGCTCTAAACAAGACTTGTGATGTGGACAAGAGAGACGGTCTCGCTCGCGTTGGAAGAAGATGCCGTCGGAATGAGAGGAAAAGTCAATCCTGGCTTCAGAGGCTCCCAGGACAGGCCGACTCCCATCAGGGGATAGCGTGGCCGGTGCCTTAGACTTGAAGCCAACGCTCGCTCACCATTCTGACAATCCTAGGCCCCCAAGAATGACGCGAAATCTGCTCTGCCGGTGCTCTGTGAATGGAACAGGCCTGGATGGTGGCATGTCTGTTTAAAACATGGTTTACGCAGTATTTTAAGCTCACTTTCGAGACCTACTGCTCAGAAAAGATTCCTTTCAAAATATGACCGCTCAACTGACGAGGCCCCTGGTCACCCGAGAGCTCTGACGGGGACGGACACTGAGATAAATGTCATTTCATACCTGCGAGCACAGCGCCCATTCTGTAGCCAGTAGATCGAGGAGGAATTTGACTTTCAAATCTTATTATTTAAGAAGTGCATTTCGTAAGGCAACAGCGGCCATGGACAGTGGTCCTTCTGATGGATCTGGCCAAAGTGAACTGGAAATGTTCTGGAAAGGATTCCCCATTCTAGGTGCCATTGAGAACATTTGTGATTCGTGGGGAGAGGTCAAAATATCAGCATTAACAGGCGTTTGGGAGAGGCAGACTGCAACCCACACGATGACAGAGGGCTCAAGACTGGAGTGCGGGAAGCGACTGCAGGCGGCGGGAACAGCCAGAGAGTGAGAACTAGCGGCAGAGCCTGAGGACGCGGCTGACCCGCTGCCTCGCGCGATAGATCCTGAGCGAGGCGTTGCCTCTTACGGACGAGCAAAGAAAAGGGTTTCTAGAGATAAAATCTACCCCTGCCGAAGACGCTGTGAAGGCTGCTGAAATGGCGACAAAGGACTTAGATTACGACATGGCCTCAGCAGAGAGGGCGGCGGCAGGGTTTGACAGGGCTGACCCCGATTTCGACAGAAGTCCCACTGTGGGCACGACACCATCCAACAGCACTGCGTGCTGCAGAGAGAGCGTTCGTAAGAGTCAGTCCATGAAGCCGATTTCTCTGTCGTCCTATTTTTAAAAATGGCCCCCAGCCTTCAGCAACCACCCCCCTGACCAGGCAGCAGACATCATCGAGATTCTCCACCAGCAAAGATTACGGCTCGCTGGACTCAGATGACTGAGCCTTTTTCTTAGCAACACAGTATATTCGATAACGTCTGCGCATTGTTTTTCAGATGGAACGCTATCGCACACTTCACAGACTGCAGTACGGTGTGAACATAACTTTCACACGCACCAAGAAACCAAAAACTTCGTGTACCTCACTGTATCGCAACGTTTGCTCCACGGCAGTGGGCACCTCTGAGGTAGGCTACGGCCAGTAGGAAACTCAGGTGACCCTCTGAATGAACGTCGTTTTCATAATGGGAAATGACTTCCTAGGCAGAAAGTGCCCCGGAAGAAATTCCAGGTAATAGCAGATGGAACTAAACACAAAATTAAGACCGACAGTAGCGCTATTTCTGTAACAGAATGACTCATGATTAAAAAGCTCAAATATCTGTAAGGAAACTAAGACCCCAAAACATGAATAAAAACAAAACCAGAATCTACAAAAAAAGTCAACACGCATATGAAATACGTGGAAATATAGACTTAAATAAGATGTATTTACCTATCAAGTTAGAAGACTTTTTTTTTTTAAAAAAAGGACTGTTAGAAAGGGAACAATGGGATAAATACCACTGGCAGAAACAGTAACGACATGTATGGTGCAAAGAACGCATGGCCCTCAAAACGCTCACACCCTCGTCACGCCCTGGGAAACAGTAAGTGCCACTTCTGAGGGTCTAGTCTAAGGAAATGACTGAAGATGGACGATGTCGCGCTTCGTTCTGAAACGTGGACAACTGGATTATTCAATAACAGGAGAACTAGTACGGTAAAACGGGATTTGCTACACCACAGTACTTTCTGCTGCTACTTATAAAGATGTGTATAAAGAGTTAACTGCCATAAAAAAATAAGATAAAAATTTTTAAGGCAGGAAACAAAATTTTATACAGTGTTGTCTCAACTATATTTTTTAAAGGGAAAAAAAGAGACCAAAAAATGCCACCACATCAATGGTGACTTCTCCGGGTGCTGGGATTCTGGGGGTCCCTTTCCCACTTCCTTGTTCTTTTCTGGAAATTCAACACCATACAGTTGTCAGAACCACCTTTACACGCGAAGAGATGGGAGACGAAACAAAAGTCTCTTGGCCTAGCACGACACACACCCCGGCGTAGCTCACACCCCCTTACAAGTGGCCCTCCCTGGGAAAAGGACGAAACGGTGCCCTCCACGAGCAGCCTGCTCACTCAGAGTGCCAAGGGCAGGAGATCGCCCTGGGACCCCCTGGGACCCCCCGGACCGCCCACTCACGTAGACCGCGAAGTCCTTGGGGGCGCTGCTGATGTTGCCGGTGGGCGACAGTGCCTTTGGGATGTGCTCCAGGGCGAAGCTGGTTGGGTGGATCTTCATGGACAGCCTCACCACCAGGTACCCCTGGGAGCCTCTGAACGCCCAGCAATTCCCCGGGTACATGTCAGGCTAGGGAAAAGGTGACATGTGGGAGCTTAACAGTCGAATGAGCTCTTAACCGCTTAGAAAACAGAAGCTGTGAGCAAAAAGACTGAAAACACTGAAGCAAAAATACAACTTTTACGTGGTAAAAAAACCATCACAAGCAAAATCCAAAGACAAACTGGGGAGAGGGGTTTGCAACTTAAACCCCAAAGGGTGACCGTCCCCAGTACACGAGCAGGTTTGCAAAAGTTAAGATAACCAGGATCTTAAAGAAAAATGGGTGAGACACAAACACATTTCAAAAAAATAAGGTTAAATGGCCCCCAAACATATGACAAGATGTCCCACCTGACATAACAAGAAAAATACAAATTTAAATGACAGGGTGTTACCATTTGTCATCTAACAGATTACAGTATCTGAAAGTTTGACAAAACCCACTGCTGACGCTGTGGGGAAACCACACCCGCACACGCCACTGGTCCGTACGCGACCTCTGGCAGCACAGCCACGGCTTACGCGTCTGCCCCGACCCCCACCCCACTGCCGTCCCTGACGTACCAGCTAAAAGGAAAAATGGCGGGCAGAGAACACTGCCTGCCAGAGAGCTTCTAACAGCAAAAGAGGAGGCCCGCCTGCGGCAAGGCCTCGGCGACCAGCTGCGGGACACCCGGCAGGCCAGGCGCCGTGCTGCTGTGCAGTGACCAGAACCAGCCTGCGTACACAGCAAGGCGCACGGCAGCCACCTTCTGTGCAGGGAAGTGGCGGAGGGGCAAGGACACGGCGAGGCCCGCACTTCACTCGGGCTTCGTGAGGGGAAGCTGGGACACTGTGCCTGTGCTCGTTTCCAGCTTATCTTTAGTGCCAGTGACCGGCTGCCCTCGGCTCCCCTTTCTGCCTGTCCTGCGACAAGGGGTCCGGGCCCTTTGGGTGTTTTCCTCTGCCAGCCCAAAGGTCAGGCTCTGTCAGCAGCCGGGGCAGGAGGGCACGGCAGGCTCCCGGCAGCCCCCGGGACATTTGGGGGAAGTGAGGCACCTCGCTGTGGGCAGCTTTCCTGGTACCCTGGAGGGTGGATCTGGCAGGTTCCACCAGTGTGGCACCATTTAGTGACCTACGGCTGTGCCCTCCACACGGAGGTCTGTGGGGGGCGGGGGGGGGGAGGCCCTGCGCAGCCATAGGGTGCTCACCCCGCATCTGCTCTCCCAGACCCGCAGACCTCGCCGAGTAGCCATCACCTCTGCCCCATGCCCCCAGGCCACTGTCCCAGCTGGGCAGCCAAGGACAAGGGGATCATTCGGATGGCGCCAGAGGACCCCAAATCTTCCATGTCCTGACACTTACTTAACACTCGAGTATCATGAATCCTTGATGACTGGGCTGGTGGTTTTTAAGTGAAAGACGACTACCGTGTGGGTGTTTCACGTGAAAAACAATTTGAATTTTCTTCCAAAAACGTCACTACCAGCAGGCAGCATTTCGACACCGAGGTAAACGACACATCTGATGACGTGAACGCTTCGTCCTCGAGCCCTTTAACCGTGGGGCAGCCCGCTGGGGCTTGGCGTGAGCACAGCGTAGCGTGCGCCTCTCCCCGTTCTCGCTGCGGACAGGGGGAAAGCACGCCCACGCTGTCTCAGGGGCCTGCCCGCAGCTGTGACGGCCACGCCCGCTCACGACCGCACAAGGACACGTGCGAGGCCCTGCTGAGGGCATGAGAACTCAGCCTGAGGCGGGACAGGGACGAGGGGGCCCTGGCGGTGCTCTTGGCCTGGCGCCACTTCCTGGGGCACACTCGTGACCTGCACAATCTCTTGCATGTGTCATGTACCCAGCCGGAAGGCTCAAGAACCTGGCACGGAGCCGGTCTCAGCTGGCACCCTAGCCAAGCCGGAGGCCCCGCAGGGCGGTCACGGAGCCCACGTGAGGGTGCGGTGCGGGCGGCCGGGGCGACCTACCTGGATCACGACGCGGGGCGACTGGGAGAAGTACCAGAGCGGCACCCCGAACAGGCTGACGAGCGCGGTCCTGGTCTCGTAGGTCTCGGAGCAGCGGGTGCTCAGGACGCTGCCGCCTGCAAGCAGAGCGCGAGTCCATTTCAGTGCCTGATTCGGCGCTTCGGGACCGGCAGCGCGACCCCGCTCGGGGACCTGCCTGAACCGTCTCTGACTCGTACAAACCGACCCGCCCCTCACGCCGGCCCCGCTCTTAATGTCCCTTTCTCCCCGGTCAGTGTCACAGGTCTGCGACTGCCGTCGGGGGCACGCTGTGGACCTGCTGGCACCGACAGACCCTTACGGCGCGGGCTGTCCCCTCGTCTGCACCCGCGGGGACGGCAACTCTGAAGGAACTTTCGTTCATCCTGAAGAACGACGAACCCGGCCGGCGCCCGCGCTGCCTGGCAGGTGAGTTTCAGGGGCTAGGGAAGAGGCCACCACGTGTGCTGCGGAGGCTGCTGCCGCCGCCGGGCGCAGGGCTGGGGCTGTCTGGGGAGAGGGGCTGTCGGACTGGATGCGGCGGCGGCACGCGGCGGTGCCCTGGCAACCACTGCTATGTTCACCGTGAGATGGCGAAGGTCACGTCATATCAATCGCATCTCCACGAGAATGCAAAAGCAGCGCTGAGAACAGGCCGGTTCGCCCCGCAGGACACAGGGCGGACAGGACGTCGATGCCAAAGCCCACAGGACAGACAAGTTGGTGTGGTAAGCAGCAGCAGCAGCAGCAATAAGTTAAAAACAACAAAGTAAATAATAAAAATAAAGACTCCTGGGGAGCTTGCAAGTGACAAGGCAGAGGGCACCACAGCCCTCGGGGCGCCAGCTCACCATCGGGTGGGCACCTTAAACAAAAAACAAGGCACTTTGACCTGCCGATCAACAGACCCGAACCTCCGAAGTGTCTTAAAACGCTAATCACTCTACGAAAGTCCAGAGCATGGCGACTCACGTTTCTAGCTCGCAGACCTGATAAATGCCTCATTTACTGACAAATCCTTCACTTCGGTTCAGCCTCCTTAGATGAGAACTCTGAATTAATGACATACAGATTTGCAAGAATTATTGTGCTTCTAAGAAAAAATGACAACCATCAGTCCCAATGAAACGTTTAAAATGTCTTTTGATCTCTCTGAACTGAAAAGAATTTCCTCAGAAACCACTGAATTTCAAAACATGTAACTAACTCAAACACCTTAATGTTCTACAAAGTCACCCCAAACAAAATGTCCTCTGAGATGGTCCACAGCCTCCTTGGCGTGCGCGATGCTGGCAGTGTGGCTGCTTTGACGTGTGACAGAGGTTCTCCCCCCATGCTAAGGATCCTGCAGGATGGCGAAGGGAGCCCGTGCCAGCGGCCGGTGGGGACCAGGTTCATGACCGGGGTCCCCATTCGAGGCTGACACAAGACACGTCGCCACATTTCCTAAACCACTGGGATCAGGCACGTTGAACAGCCTGTGGTTTTAAACCAGCCCTTCACACCGCTTTGCTCAAGGAGCAATGCCAGCCCACCAGCCTCGCAATGCCTGGATCTTAAAAATTCAGCAAGATGAGATTTTCTGCAATACGCGTGCTGGCA